CACAATACCACGCCGGCCCGGAGCAGTCGAGAACTGAGTTAGATCGGGGACAGAGAGGCGCGCTGGGCCCCTTCACTTTCCGCCCTCTTCCCGTCCCCTTCCCTCTTCTCTTCTCCCCTCCCACTTCGGGGTTGCCACTGCCTCGTGTGACAGGGGGAATGAAAACAAGGGAAGCGGGGCGGAGAGGCGGGCTGCGAGCCTGGGGGCGGGACTTTCTGAGAGCGCTAGCCAATGGGGAGGGAGGGGCGGGGCTCTGGTTGCCTGCTGGACGGTGGCTAGTTCCAGGCCTGGTAGCTGAGAGGCAGGGAGAGGTAAGGCGCGGAGCTGAGCGGAGGAGCAACCGAGAACAGAAGCGCTGCGTGAGTTTTCTGCGGGACCTGGGAACGGAGACGACCAGGAGAAAGAGGGAGAAGTTGAACAGAGACACCAAGACGCAGAAAAAGAGAATGACGGGTGGGAATGCGGCTGTGGAGAGAGGTTAGGAAACGTGGGAAAAGGTATGGTTGTAGCTTGGCGCGGGACCATGGAGAAAAGTCTCTCAGAAAGTTTGCCGAGGGCTAACTGAGTGTTGTGTGACAGAATTTTCCTGGGTGAGACACTACACAGATCTCCTCACCCCAGATAGGGCTCCCACAGACAGGCCGAAGTACAGACAGCACCAGAGTTCAACTTGGTGAACCAATGAGTATTATTTTTACATGAATATGGGTGAGGGTTTACTTTCAGGAGCAAAAATAACTCAAAGACAGCAGCATCACCAAGGCCCACCCCAGCACAGGTGACAGCTCACAAAGCTAGGAAACTTGGAGCACCCAGCACTGCCTGCAGGCAGCTCAACAGGTTGGAGATTGTCGTTTCCAAGAGACTATGGTCTGAACCTCTTCAGCTGGTGGTTTCTGCTTGTTCCAGGCGGTTGGCCTGACCTCAGAGTCTTCGCAGCTCGGCTTGTCTAAGAGGCTTTTGTGCTGCTCGGCTTCCTTCTGTCTGAGGGGGCTCTCAGCTTTTATTGCTGACTCTGGCAGGGAGGGACCTAATGAATCTGGTCAGTTTCAGGGACTTCCTGAATCCATTTTGCATTGTTTTATGTTCCTATTTAAAGAGCTATCTTGCGAGTGGAAAGTCTTACACAACACTGAAGCACAAGAATCCCAGCAGTCTCAGGGCTCTGCCGGCAGTCGGGGGGAATGGGATTACTAGTGAGGAATTACTCCCACCCCTGCCTGCTGGTGACAGAATCTAAGAAACCAGACTCTACTGGAGATCTAAGATGCTCAGTCTGTGAGGTGAGCTAGGACTCTACATAGAGAGCTGGGAGTTGGTAGAATGGCAGTAAGTTTGCTAGGAAGCAGAGTTCTACTCCATTGAAGAATAAGATGCGGCATTCTCCCAGAAAGAATCCCAGAGCAGGGGGGAAAAAAGTCATCGACAATGTAAAATAGAATGTGCTGCTTGGGTAACAGTACACTGTATACATGGAGCCAGAATTTTGGATTGAACCAGACCTGAGTCCTACCCCTAAGTACTTTATAGCCTTCTGAAGTTTCTTCATTACTTTGAACTTCAGTAAAGTGAGGTGATAGTATCTAGACCATGAATTATTCACAATAAAGTGGTTAGTCATTCCCTGCCACATTGTATGTACTTTGAAATAGTCCTTGTCCTGGCAGGTGGCGCACTCTCTCCTTTAATTGCAGCAGACAGGGCACAGAAGCAGGAAGAGCTCTTGAGTTCAGGCCAGATGGGGCTACAAAGTGAGACTCTGTTTCAAATAAACAAAACTTTCTTGTTATCAAAAAAAGTGTTCCTATAATTTAGATGGAATCCAGTGACATTTAGCCTATAACTTATTACGTTAGGCCAAAATTTTAAGGGTATATTTAAAGCTTACACATCTGCTTCATAAAACTCATATAAAGCAACATATATTCTGAATCATATGAAATAAAATATGTGGCTAAAGAAAGATTTTTTTAATTTATTTTTATTTGCATTTCTGTTTTCCCTGCTTGTGTGTCTATGTGAGGGTGTCAGATCTTGGAGTTACAGACAGTTGTCAACTGCCATGTCAGTACTGGGAATTGAGCCCAGGTCCTCTGGAAGAGCAATCAGTGCTCATAACTGCTGAGCCATCTCTCCAGCCCCAAAAAAGATTTTTTTTTTAATGGGCAGATAATTATGCCAGGAACATGGAAAATGGCTTCACAGATAAACACTGAATTTTGCTATGCATTTCCAGGTAAAAAGAGACAAAGTCATAGAGCTCTGTATCATTTTCTTTATCAAAGGATCTCGGTTTCTTTGTTTTGTTTTTTCATGAGAAAAAGGTTTGTCTTGTAGTAATGATTCTTTTAAAATATTGTTTGTGTGTGTAGACATTTGTGCTACTTGCCTGCAGGTCAGAAGACAACTTTGTGGAATCACTTCTCTACTTCCATCTTTATTTTTCTAATTTATTTATTTATTATGTATACAGTGTTCTGACTGCATGTGTATTTACATACCAGAAGAGGGTACCATGTAGTTGCTAGGATTTGAGCCCATGTCCTCTGGAAGAACAGCCAAAGCCCTTAACCTCTGAGCCTCCAGCCCTCCTCCTACCTTTTATGTATGCTCCAGGCATTGAACTCAAGAGGTCAGGCTCACTCTGCAAGCACCTTTACCTACTGACATCTTACTGTCATGTATATGCCTGTGTGCCTGCCTGATTTTATGTGTACTGCATGCATGCAGCTGCCCTTAAGAGGCAAGAAGGCATCAATCCCCTAAAATTGGAGGTACAGATGTAGGTGCTGGGAATTGGACCCTGGATCGTCTACAAAAGCAATAAGTACTAACTACTGAGCCATCTCTCTAAGTCCTAGAATAATGATTCTTTTTATCTTATTATTTTTACACAGGGTCCCATGTATTTCATTCTGGCCTCCCAACTTTCTATGTAGCCAAGAATGGACTTGAACTTCTGATCCTCCTGCCTAAACCTTCCAAGTATTAATAATACTGGTGTGTGCCAACATACTCAGTTTGTTTCTATTTTAAGAGTTTGTGTGTAATTCAGAAGAGGGCATTAGATCTCCCTGCCACTAAATAGAAGTGCTAAAAACCAAACATGGGTCCTCTGGAAGAACAGCAATGACACTTAACCACTGAGCCATCTCCTGTAGTCGGACTTTCCTTTGTGCTGCCAGCTCACAGATAACAACACAGAGACTTATTATTAATTATAAAAGCTCAGCCTTAGCTTAGCCTTTGTCCTACTAGCTCTTATAACTTAAATTAGCCCATATTTTTATCAATCTACATTCTACCATGTGGCTTTTACCTGTCTCCCATTTTGTGTAGCCAACTTGTACTGTGTCTTGATGGCATCTTCTGTATGCCTAGATTTCTCCTCTTCTTCCTTTCCCTCCACAGAAATCTTGACTATACCTCCTGCCTAACCACTGGCCCTTTTAGCTTTTTGTTACATCACTCACAGAAAATACATCTTCAGACAGTGTACAAATATCCCACAATAATCTCTCCAGCCTCTGGAATAACGATTCATAATCTAATATTCAAATCTTCAAATCAAGAAAATATTTTGAGCCAGGCATGATGGTGCACACCTGTAATCCTAGGACATGGGAGACAGAGGCAGGTGAATCTCTGAGTTCAAAGCCAGCCTGGTCTACAGAGCAAGTTCCAGGACAACAATGATTACACAGAGAAACCCTGTCTTGAAAAAAAGAAAACAAAAAGACATACTGATATAAGAAATTATAAACAACAATGTACTTAATGCTGCTACTAAAAACTATTTAAATGTTCTCTATGTTATACATATTTTACTACAATAAAGTTTTTCTGGGTTTTTGTTTTAAGTCTTTAAGAAAATATGATTGTGACAGGATATGGTGACACACACACATAGGCTTTTCATCCTAGCACCAGAAGACATATGCAGGCAAATCTCTGAATAGTTCAGGCCAGCCAGGACTACACAGTGAAACTGTCCCAAAAGGGGGAGAAGCGGTGCAGCTGAAGATGTCTCAAAGCTAAGAACACTCTTTCAAAGAACCTAGGTTAGATTCCAGGACCCAGTTTGGCTCTCAGCACCTGAATCTAGCAGCTCACAACTACTTGTAATTCTCATTCTCAGGAATCAATGCCCTTCTCTGGCCTCTGAGAACATCTGCACACACATAATGAACTATACAAACACTCAGGCACACACATATACTCATAAAATAACTTTTATTAAAACATAATATGGCTGTGGATTATTACTGGAAATGAAGTTTGTTTTTTTGCTTTTTTTTTTTTTTTTTTAACAATTATGTATTCAGTGTTCTGCCTGCATGCATGCCTGCAGGTCTGAAGAGGGCACCAGATCTCATTACAGATGGCTGTGAGGCACCATGTGGTTGCTGGGAATTGAACTCAGTAACTCTAGAAGAGCAGCCAGTGCTCTTAACCTCTGAGCCATCTCTCCAGCCCCTGGAAATGAAGTTTTAATAAGTGGGAAAATACAGATTTTAGGCAACCAATGAAGTTGGAAATATCAAACTAAGAAGTCTCAAACTGCAAAATGTGAGGATGGGGGGGGAGAAAGGGGAAACCTGGGGACCCAGCTGAAGAAAATATGAACCAGAGGCCAGTGAGATGGTTCAGTGGTTTAAGACCTGATGGCCTGAATTTGATCCCTGGAGCCCACATGGTAGAAGAAGAGAACTGACTCTTGCAAGTTGTGCTCTGACCTCCACAAGCATGTTTTAGCACACATGCATCTCCATACATACACATGGAAAATAAAAAATGTTGAAAGAAAGAAAATCTGGCCCAACCAGGCAGTGGTGGCACAGGCCTTTAATCCCAGCACTCAGGAGGCAGAGGCAGGAGGATCTCTGTGAGTTCGAGGCCAGCCTGGTCTTCAAAGAAAGTTCCAGGACAGTCTCCAAACCTACAGAGAAACCCTGTCTCGAAAAACCAAAAAAAAAAAAGAAAGAAAAAGAAAATCTGGCCCAAAATACATCCTTATCAACCTTTTTGTAACAACAAAAACAAAAATCTAAAATCCTTTGTGTAGTCATTAAGCCAGAATTATACCTTTGTGAAAGAATTTCTATAGAAAGAAACTTCAGAGGAAATGGGAAACTGTATTACATGTGATATAAACCTTAACAGGTTTCTATCTTGACTTTCATCTGTTTGTATTTCAGACAGGCTACTGTTGATCCTGGCATCTCTAACTGACTATGTGTGTGAGGCTACTTGAACTACTCCCCACCTCCCAAGTGTTGGGATTACAGGTGTGTCCCACCCTGCTCTACCTCCCCATGTGCTGGGATTACAGGGGCCAGCCACCATACCTCCAACTTTCAGCTTTTCTTTTTTCTTTGTTTGGTTTTATGAAGCAGGGTTTCTCTGTATAACCTCTCTGGCTGTCCTGGAATTTGCTGTGTAGACCAGCTGGCATTAAAATCACAAAGATCCACCTGCCTCTGCCTCCCAATCACTGGGACTAAAGGTGTTCGGCACTACTGCCCAGAAACTTTCACCTTTTCTAGCACCTGACTCCCACTTTCCATGAGGTTGTAAAATAACATCCTAAAAAAGAAAAGGCTTAGGTGCTGGTTATGGCACGACCTTTCATCTCAGTACTAAAGGCAGAAGTAGGAGGATCTCTGAGTTCAAGGCCAGGACAGCCAAGGCTACATACACAAAGAGATGCTGCCTCAAAAAAATCCAAAAAAAGAAAAGGCTTTAATGCTGTAGTTTTCTTTTACTCTACTTAATTCATAATCTTATCCAAAGGGGGCTGATAACTAAGGCTAGAGTTTCTGCTTTTCTAATCCAGACTGGAATGAGAGCAAAGTCCTTGGGCATCTGAAAATTGTATCCACCCAAAGATAAGAGGTGCTTTGCTACAAAGCAAAGTTATGGTCATGCTGTCACAAAGTCTGTCGTTGAAAAATATATATGCAACATACTCCCACAATACTATTACCATCTCTTGTTTTTTGTGTGTTACAAGTTTTTAATTTAATAGCAGTTGCAGGTTATTGGCACATACTCAGTCCAGCACTAGAGAGATGGAGGCAGGAGCACCTTGAATTTGAGGCCAGACTGTGTATACAGTTAGTTTCAGAGGCACCTAGAGGCATGGTAAACCCCTGTCCCATCTCAAAAAAGTGAAAATAAAAATGTAAAAAAGTGAGTTTAATTCCACTTTGTGAATTTAGATAGCTGAATTATATTTGTGTATATCAGATTGGGATATAAAGATAAAATTGAAGCTATTTATTAAACCTGGAATAGATTTATTGCTAAGCACTAATTTGCACTCACTTGAGTTTTGCTCAAATTTATATTGTTTATTAAAAATAGCAAAATATCCAACAGAGTGATTTGTAAATTATGATATATTCCTGAAGTAAACTACCACAAATACTGGAATATACTTTCAACAACACTACAATGTGGATGAACCTCAAAAATAAACTAAATGAAAGAAAACAAAACACAAAATCTAATTCCAATCCAGGCAGAGGCTCATGCCTATAATCATGCAGCCCAAACTAGCTTCAAACTCACTGTGTAACTGAGGGTGACCTTAAGTTTATCCCCTGCCTCCACCTCAAAAGTACTAAGACCACAGGTGCTTGCCATCATGGCCTGCATCTTTTTAAAGATTTATTTTGATTTTTTTAAAATGATGTGCATATTTGCATGGGTGTGTACACATGTGGGAGTGCCTACAGAGCTCAGAGGTATCAGATCCTCCCCTTCCCCCCCCCTCCCAGCTAAAGTTACAGTTACCAGTCACCTGACTTGGTGGCTGAAAACCAAACTTGGGTCCTTTGCAAAAGTAGTATGTACTCTTAACCACTGAGCCATCTCTCCAGCCCAATTGTCAACCACTTCTTTTATTTTGTTTGAGACAGAGCTCACTATATCTCTCTGACCCTAGCTTGCCTGGAACATACAGAGAGCACTGCCTGCTTCAGCCTCCAGTATTAAAGCCATGTGTCACCATGCTCAGTAATACTATGCCTGGGGAGCACTCTACCAATAGATATATCTCACACCCTTTATAACTTTGTTTTTCTATTTTTTTAAATGATTTATTTATTTATTATGTATGCAGTGTTCTGCCTCCAGTCCAGAAGAGATCACTAGCTCTCATTACAGATGTTTGTGAGTCATCATGTGGTTGCTGGGAATTGAACTCAGGACCTCTGGAAGACCAGCTAGTGTTCTTAACCCACTGAGCCATCTCTCCAACCAGCCCTTTATATCTAACTTTAATATTTCTATTAGATACTTAAGCCCACAAATCATATTATGCAGTTTGGTATGCTATATGGCAAAGACTGATATTCACTGGTGTGGATCACAAAGTTGCTAACACACTGCTTACATGTTAGGTTCAGAGGAGCCCTGCCCTGAGTCTCCTAAGCATATCTCTGCCCTCTGCTGTCCTGTTTGGCAAGTGCCTTTCCAACAAATTCTAGCAATAGGATATATAATACAGACACAAAAAAGAACTTATCCCAGCACACCACTTCATTTTTATGTAGCCTATGTTTATGCTGTCTCATTCTTAAATATTTTAATATACCCCCAGCTGATAGCAGTAGTTTCAAACTGTGACTCATGACACATTGGTGTGTTTTACAATCAATTTAGTGCATCAAGATCAAAATTATACTGAAAACGAAAGAGAATTTTAAAAAGGGGACACAGTCAGTCTAAGGGTCTTGAAGTAATACAGTCTAGTGGTCTTTTTTTTTTTCCCCAGATTTTTTTATTTGAATTAGAAACAAGATTGTTTTACATGACAATCTCAGTTCCCTTCTCCCTCCCCTCCTCCCCTACCTCCCCCACAGTCTAGTGGTCTTGATTGGGTTCATTTTTTTCTGCTAGTTAAGGAATTGAAAGGCAAGAAAAAGTCTGAAATGCAACAGGTAGCAAGCAGCAGGGAAATCTTCTTCTTCTTCTTCTTCTTCTTCTTCTTCTTCTTCTTCTTCTTCTTCTTCTTCTTCTTCTTCTTCTTCTTCTTCTTCTTCTTCTTCTTCTTCGGGTTTCTCTGTGGCTTTGGAGGCTGTCCTGGAAGTAGCTCTTGTAGGCAGGCTGGTCTCGAACTCACAGAGTGCTGGAATCAAAGGCATTTGCCACCACCACCCGGTGCAGCAGAGAAATCTAAACACCACAGACAGAATTAGCAGTTGAAGAAAAACATGTATTAAAGGTGAAGAAACACACATATACAGCAGGCTCAGAAAGGAAAAAGACCCCTATAAAGCAGAGGAAGGACTCGGGAAGCTGAAAAATGACTCTCTTTGTGTGTGTGGTGTTTGGGGGGGGAGGGGATAAGAAGCCTCTGAAACTCTGAAGAGTCTTCCGCCCTAATTTAGGGTTGGTCAGTTTGAGGAAAGCTACGATGGTTGATTGTCTCAGAACTGTTGTGTGGCATTCCTGAGCAGGCCTTGAACTTGTTGAGCCGGTCCATCAGCAGGGGGCCTGCTGGTGGGAGACAAAAGCCTACAAGGCCTTTGTTTTAAGCTGTCAGGTTTTTGTCTCAAGTCAAGAAGCAACTGTAAGAGAAAGAAAATATATTCAGATTAGTGTGGGTAGAGGTTTATGCGGATTTAACTCCATCTTAACTGAACTCATAGCCTTAGACTACTCAACCATCCTGACAATTTGTTTTATCTTAAGTGACATGGGCTTTTACTTTTTTCCAACATAAAATTTTTGATGATTATTCTGGAATTTCACATAATACACCCTGATGACACTCACTTCCCAGTCCTCCCAGGTCCCCCGTCACTGCTGTGACCCCCCTCCAAAAGAAGAAGAAGAAAAAAATACCATGTTCAGTTTGTGTTGCTCATAGACTCACTGGAGCATGGTCAAATTCCACATAAGAAATCTTAAGGAATAAAAACCACATGGTTTCTGGGGATTGAACTCAATCAGGTTTTCGCAGCAGGCACTTTACTCAATGGGCCATCACATCTCTTCACTGATAGGCAGGAACTGGATGAATAAATAAGTACATGAAGGTAAACATAGAGGGGAAAGATAAATAATTTTTGAAACATCAAATTCATAGTTGCATCATGTGCTTACAACATTTATGCTCTAAGAGAAATTACTAAATAAGAAATTCAGGAAGTAACAATTTCATTCCTGGGCTGGGTGTTGGTGGCACACGCCTTTAATCCCAGCACTCGGGAGGCAGAGGCCTTCAGATCTCTGTGAGTTCGAGGCCAGCCTGGTCTCCAGAGCGAGTGCCAGGATAGGCTCCAAAGCTACACAGAGAAACCCTGTCTCGAAAAACCAAAAAAAAAAAAAATTCATTCCCAACAAGAAACTAAATAATTCAGATGTTTGAAGAATTAGAGGGTGTGAAACAAGAGAAGCACATGCTGGGCTATCCCAACACGAGGAAGGCAGAGATAGGCAGATCTCTGTGAGTTCAAGGCCAGCCAGGGCTACCCAGATAAACCCTGTTTCAAAACAAACAACAATAAAACAAATAGCAAGTAAGGAAGAGCCAAGAGTCCTTCATTACCATTTTATCAAACTGAATGGAATAAGGAAACCACTACCTCTTTAGTGTAGAGGAAATTGTTTTTAGCGGTATCTACTTGCAGAAGAATGAAAATATCATGGCAGTGTGGTGAGATGATAGTCTGGTGGACTTAAGTTCCAATCACAACTCTCTTAAAGCTATTCAGCCCTACAATATTATCTTCCATATCAGAAAGTGGAAATTGTAGTGTGCCCTTGCAATATTTTCTGAAATTTGTTCATATTGATATTATTGCTGAAGTGCCCAGACCCTCACCCAGCCCTCTGCTTTGGCAGCCATGACAGGCTGCAGAAAAGACCCAGAAAGATGTAGGCCCCTGACTCAGCAACATGTTCTGAGGCCCCTACCTTGCCCAACCTTGCCCTAATCACTAGGAAGCCATATACCCTCCATATGGCAAGGAACCAATCAGAAGTTAGTTGGCAGGCTCTAGGTGTGCTTTACTGATAATAGTGGGGAGGAGGGCGAAGCAGCTGCCCTGTGAGGGCCTCTAGGCAGCTGACCAATTAACTCAGGACAGGATGCCCAAGCCCGGAGGTGCACCAATCCTGAGAGTATTACTATGCAACTAGCAGACTCCCCAGTTACCCCCTTGCTCTACCTCCAATATATGCCCTGCCCCACGGCTGCTCAGGGTCTCTCCTACTCACCTGCTGTGTCAGACAGATGGAGGAACTGAGTTAATTCCAGTTAACTGGCTAATTATAA